ACAAACAAACAGACAAGAAAGCGAGTTAATAAAAACGTGTTAAAATAGGCTGATTTCGTTTTTCTTTTTCAGAGTTATTTCTTTCATCTGTGCACATAATACTGCAGCAAGAATTATTCTTGTTCTTTCCTTTTGAGTTTTGAGCTCCTTTCAATGCCAGAGTATCAGATTCTATGTGGTCTTCTTCTGGAAAGTTCTTGTTTTTAGTAACGTGATGTTGGGAGAAACAATTTTCATTGCATTTTTGAGGAATTCTAAACTTTTGATAAACAGGAGAACCAAGCAAATATGTTTGCATCGAGTCTACGGGAAAATGAGATGCGACATGAGGACGATCCGACGTTGGGACAAGGCCCAAGCCCCAATTACATCCTCATACTTCAGGTATGCTTCGGCGGAAAGATTCTGAGAAATGCATATTTTTCAAGAAATCAAAATTCCGAGAAATACAATAGTAGTGATCAACACCAAATTAATTGAAGTGGCGCAAAGATTAGACCAATCCGTAGAATAGCATTTTGGATGCTAAACCGCGAACTGAAGTAGGGGAATTTTTTTTTTGCTGCTGGAGAGGGTCAAAATCAATCCATTCTGACGAGCTCTACTCATGCGACATCTTTCGTTCAAATCAGAAAATTCCCGCTTCATTTCAAACCCGCGATATTTTCGGTAACTATCCGTTTTAGACAAAATTTTAAAATAGTACACGTGAATAGTATACCTGTGAACAGGCATGCGCTCGTGGTCCAACGGACGAGACAACGTGATTAAGCCTGTAATTGGATTCACGCGGAACCAAGTCGTGGAGTTGGCATCCAGAGAGATGTCTTCAAGCGAGTAACGAATGGCCCCGTTCATGCCTGAAAGAGAACATGTACGAACGGTGTTCAGTACCCATTTATCACCTCCTCCGAACTTCGTCAGGGTAACCTGCTTCCGCTTTCAACTGCTCATTTTGATTACTTCCACACCGTTGACTAACAAAAGGTTGAAAAAAGTTCATTCATGTTCATGCATCAGCACGCAACAGATGAGAAATGAAGACATAAAATCCCCGTCGAGTAAATAAAATGCTTAATCGAACACCTTAACATTAAATCGTTACGATGAAAAATGCAAGTTCATCGCTGAAACAGCAAACGAATTCGACGACAGTGATCACAGCAGAGAGTTAAATAAGTTCCAACAGACGGGAGGAAAGTATGCGAGTCATCTGATGCTCCACTGGATTTTGTGAAAGACGATTAACATTTCATGCTTCATCTGTGAATATTTTAATTCAAATATCGCATAATTTGTCTAAGCATGCGTATTATGCGGTGAGTTATCGTATTTACGCTAGTATAGTGTACCACGCCCAGCTGCCAGTTTTTGCAGTCTACAATTTTCCCAGAATTGTAAATCCGTCGAGCAAGACGTGCACCCCGTTTATGGGACTCTAAAACTGCAATATTTCGGAAATAATCCATGTCTAAATTTCCAAAGTTTAATTCCGACATGAATTGAGCCTGAATTTCAACTGATTTCAGTAGTTCCCATAAAAAACTGTTTTTGATAAAATCGGTCAATAATTTGTCATTATAATCATGCATAATGCACACCTAAACTTCTGAAACATTTTGAAAAATTCATACCCACCTATGATGCGCACCCCCATTTTTCTCAATTTAAAAAAAAGGTGCGCGTGGTTAGTAAATGCGGTATTTACCAATTGTGAAAAAGTGCAGTATTTAAAAATGTAAAGGCAATGATAGAAATTCAGGTTCAACACCTGACTAATATCAGACTGTGGGTCATCAATTCATGAGCTAAGATTATTCGAGAAATTGTTCTGCTTGACTTCAACAAAAAATACTGTATTCAAAAAAGAATTTAATTTAAAAAAAATTCCTGCATGAAAAGCTAATCTTTAGTCAAAATTGAATCAACCTCGAAAGGTAATGTACTTCAGCTCGGTAAAAAAAAAAGACAAACCTAATTCCTCACACTCCCTGAACAGAAATACGATAGGTGGTATTGACTTATTTTCTATTTTTTTTCCTCCGTGTACCAACTACACCGCAAAAACTGGTACCAAAAATTAAAAAAGGAAGGCAGATCATTCATCTCGGCTCCCGAATCAACCAGCACCTCGTCTCCGCATGGGAAGACTCGAGGGGGTTCCGCCTCAAAAGACAGCTAATGAGAGCAGCGGCATGCAAATTATTCCGAGCAAAGCATTCCCACGCGGACACCCGCGAGGCAAGGTAAATATATACGAGAAACGGCACACGAGGCGCATAACTCACCTTCGTCTCGATCACTGGCTTGAACCTTCAGGATCTCGGCACCCACTGCTCTCAGCTCCGACACCGACGCTTCGTACGACAGCTTGGAAAACACCGGAGGGTTGTCGTTGACGTCAGTGACGCGAATGTTGACTGGGACCTCGGAATAGGCTCCACTCACGCTGTCACTTGCCCGCAAATACAGCTCGTACTCCGACTTGAGTTCGTAATCCAAGGCATCTCCCACGAAGATCGAGCCTTCAAAAATTGCAACAAGAACAGGGATGAGTAAAGGATCCCTCCACGAAATACGCATCATTCCATGCAAATCCATCATCATCTATTGCCTATAGTGACACACGTACGAAAAAATGTGCAGCTCGCCAGCACTAAGATCACTAAATGAAGCAAAGGAAAAATAATTCATAAAATGAACCATAAGCGATAAGAAAAAAAATTGTGAACGAAAGCCACAAGTCTAGAAAACGAAATATTCGTTTTCTCGCGTTTCCCATGCTGTCGAAAATTGAAAAGCTTCAGCAAACGGAGAAATGTAGTGGAATTCTCAGACGATTAATCCCTGGATATCTTGCTTGAGATAGGATTTACGATAAACGAGAAAAATTGCAAGGCTTTCAAAACTGATCTTCATACAACAGATGCTGTATTTAATGATCAAGCAGCCAAATAAATAGAAACCCAGTACTGTAATGTATTGTACAGTACTAAACTCTACGACTATTACAGAAAACACACGCACACAGTGGATTTTGAGATAAACTGAAGCGAAAGTAAAACGGGGCAATTTTCCGGAACTCTGAACTAAAATCCAGGCAATCCTTCAGCATTACGAAAAGACGGAGGAAAATTGTCCGAGTGAAGTCGAATTTCCGTTTCTCGCATTCGTCTGTTTCAACCGAGCTCTTTTCGGAAAATAACGACACTCCGGACTCAGACTGTGGGTCATCACACAACGTCAAAACGCAGGACAAGCAGCAGCAGTGCGAGAATTGATATCAATGCAGCGCGATTTAAAGGAACTCGCTCCACTATATCGGGAACATCGGGCATTTTTAAAGGAAAGCGTTCCTCTTTTTTCTTTCAATCCCTTCCTATATACACCAACAGCCATGCATCATTTAAACATAGGAATCCCTAGAGAGGGCCAGGGAAAAAATGCCCGCAGCCTCGCATAATTTAAAAAGCAAGCACAAAAGCAGACCAGGAAGAATAATTCGAAGACAGCCTCCGCTATTTCCCACCTTTCAGGATCGGCCACATTGCTGCGAAGAAGTAAGAGAGAAAAAAAAGCACACCCAGAAAGAAAAGATATTAGAAAAGAAAGACATTTTTGAGTTCCGTTCAGGACATCGAAAGCAGGATTTGTGATCAGACTAGATTTCTATAGAACTTAAATTTCTATTATTTTCAGTATAGAGTATCCAAAAGTTGTTGTGTAGGGTAGGAGTCAGCATTTTTTGGATGCTACAAATGTTGGGCAAAATATAATCGGAGCATTGATAAATATCGATAAGATACACGAAGGTTGTCCCTCTTGATGAAAGGCATCTAACCATTATTTTTTTCAGATAATGGTGAAAATCAGAAAGAAATTTCTATTTGTTGGCTGGCCTGACAAATTTTCAGCACCCTGTGACAAGGTTGGAGAACTCTGGCCGTAACCGGAACGTTTTCACTCATCATCATGCAGCGAATTTAATTTAATTTCAAAAGTCCAACAGCAAAAAATCTCAGAACCATCGAATTTATGGGCTATGTCACGATTTTTTTTCATGATTACACTTTCTTCAGAAATATCAGAGGCCACGTACAACTGAGGCAACTTTCGTATACGATGTACATACAGGCTTCTATCGATCAATATGTAATACTGTACAATATTTCGAGAAGTTTGAGAAACGATTCCGAACGACGAGAAAGATTAAAAATTGGCCCCGGTTATTTACAAGAATTTTCTTTCATAGCATAACCAATTTTCTCTTCCATGCAGTTTTATGAAGTCTAAAAAATATCGAGGAAGAAAATTGAAGCGGGGATAACTTTTCTGAGTAAATTTGAAACTGTACACCTTGCTGTACTGACATTCCACCGCCCAATAATTTATGTACAAATAGCATGGCAGCGTCATGAAAAATATAGAAAAATTAAAAGTACAAGAACAACTTTTAGGACCCCCTTATTTTACAGTTCCGAAAAAATCAACAAAAGCGTTCTTGCCCCTATACCCATCACGATCGTCTCCTCTTCCCAACACACATGGCAACATTTTACATCGCAATGCATCACTCGACGCACATAAACATGAAAACAGTGACACCCCCGTTCGTAATGAGCCACGACAACCATAGAGAAAGAAAAACCCCAACCTCTGGGTTGTTACCCCGGCAATTCCACACAGGTTTTACCACGCAAAAAAAAAAAAAAAAAGATCATCGCCATATTGCCTCAGCAGTTAGTTTTTAGCACTCGGAAGTTACACCAACAGCCAGGAACGCATCTAGCATAGCTAACGACGTTAGTGCAACCTTGTGACTCAACTCGTTCGCAATCTAAATATTAAATATATATTTCACCACGCAACAATTGCCTTTACTCACATGGACCATCGAAACGTTGCAACGGGTCTTTCGGGAGACGAAAACCCAGGATTGAAGGCAGACCAGTTCCCCAGAACATAGAAGAAACGGTCAAATCAGGAAAAATGACATAAATCAGAGAAAAACAGACATAGAAAATCGATTCAAAATAAAGCAAATCCTCCAAAAAGCCTCAAGATAAAAAACGAAAGAAACCGGGAAAATTGAAAAAAGTTGAAATATGATACAAAGACAAAATATATGAACGCATGCTCCGAAAGATTCAACGCAGCATAATGCACAGAAGAAACCGAAGCCCAAAACCTAGAATGTATTTCCTCAATAACTGAAGCGTTCAACGAGAACTTAATTCCGAACTTGAACATTTGTCCGCTTGACGATAAAAATTGTTCTTCAACGACAAATGCGTTGAAAATCTTGAAATGTCAAAAAATCATATATTTTCTATGGTGCTGCAACATAAGGTATAGGCACATAAACCACATATTCAGCATCCAGTAGGAAATGCACTATTCGGGAGAAACTTACCCAACCACACGATACATAGAATGATCTGAGGTTAATTTCAACTTTTTTGTTCAACAACTTCACTATGCCATATTTTATCAAACGTTTCAGAACGAGCTCCTTTGGAGATGCAACCTAGAACAGTTACAAAAACAAAACAAAAACTCGCAAAATCATTTGATTAAATTAAACCAAAGGACATGAGTGATTCTCGCTGGGTGATTTTCACCAGGAAAATAAAACTGTTTCGGCAACGAATATTCGCCGATCGACATGAAATAAGCTTCAAAGAAGACCTTTAATTTCAATATAATGATCAAATTTCGGTCAAAAAACTAGAATTGGACCCCGAAGAACCACTCGTTCAGTAATTTAACGTTCTTTGATTTGCTACGACATAGCGTTGGAAAAAAAAACGTAAGGACAACCGATCATGAGAAAAATTTTTTTTTTCGCCGCTGATGAAGGAGGCATTTTAACTTGTCGTGGAACAAAATTATGCTGAATACTTCACTCGTGTCCACAAGCTTCAAACCAAAGCTTCGTGAATTATCTGCCAACGAAAAAAAGAAAAAAAAAAAAAACAGGAACCTTCCGGGGGAAACGCGGAAAAGCCTCTTACAAGATGAAACCCCTGAGCTGTTATACCCTCAGACTGATCAACACAGTATGTCGCAAATCCAGCAAAGAAACTGAAAAGGGAGTTTGGTGGGGAGTAGTTTCAGAGGCATAAGCCGCTTTTACTAAATTGATTACAACGCAGAAGAAAAAAACCAATGCCGAAATACACATGTACAGTACTTCGTTCGACTCTGGCAAAATATAATTACAGTATTTTTAATGGAAACGTTTCAACAGTGCAGGACCGAAGCTCTCAGAAATTTTTGGTTCAATTCGGATCATCGGGAAGGAGAAACGTGACATTTCCAGTCACATTTCTCTTGCAATCAAAATATTGTAAATTTGAGGCAGAAGAACTAGTGAAACATTCTTGCATTTTGTAATAAAGCCACTGTGGTAATAAAACTGAATAACAAAATATACAGAGGAAGTGCTCGCGGAGTATGATTTTTTTCTTCCCTGAGGGAAACAATAGATCATTAAGATGTGACGATGAGAACAAACAAAATTACAGTTTTTTTTCTTTCTATACTCGTGGGCAATGTGAACTACCAATTTTCAAGCAACTTTTTCTGTCAACCCTCATAATGTCGTCATTCCCACCATTCAAGTCCTCAGACCACAGGGTATTGAACTGAGGCAGTTCAACCCAGGCTCAAACGGATATTCGTGACTCTCATGTACTCATCCTTCAAAGCAGAGAAATATATTTTCCATTTTCCACCCCGGTTGCTTTGAGTATGACAAACGTTCATCTCTCAGAGTGAAACTCTCTGTTGCGATAAAACTTCCTTTTCTCCAAGCCCGAAAATCACAGCACTTTCATTCCACAAAAAAATAAGAAGGCGGTCTTCATGATGCATCAGATACCACAATCGTCTATTTTTACGGGTATAGAGAAACCCCTTGAACAAAACGATCGAGAGAAATATCATCAAAGGAATCTTGGAAATACAGCAATTTTCATTTTATAAATGCTTCAACTTTCCTCAGAGTAGAAATGAATAAATTTACTTTTCCCGTAACTAAAACACTATAGCCCTTTTCCCTCTTGTCCATTGTATTTATTTTTGCTAAAAGAAAAAGGGGCGGTGAAAGCAGGAATGCGGAGTCCACTCACCGGTGTTGAAATCAAAGCCGAATTCTTCATACTCGTTTCCGCGAGAAATTCCGTAGATGAGCTTCCTGCCCTGAGGGGATTCCGCCACGACATTGATGACTGCTGTGTAGGGTTCAGCATTTTCAGGCACGGTGGCGTTGAAAAATTGCTTATTGAACACCGGCATCAGACGGTCCATCACTTTTATGTGCACAGTTGTTTCAGCGAACATCGGAACTTTTCCTGCGGAAGCATAATCGTAAATAATCCCGAAAGTTAAACTTGAAGGACTGGCCCGAATTTTCGTTTTGCATTTCAGGCAGTGAAGGGAGCATTTATTTTCTGAATATTTTTTTTTTCAAGAGGAAAAGGTACAGTATAAAGCTTTTCAATGCGTCGAGAACTCCCTACTCACGGAAGTTCATCAAAAAATCCTTTCCAGTTTTACATAATTTTACCCACGATTTTAAAAACAAGAGATTTTTCCGCCATTATTGCGGAAGAAAACTTTGGCTACCAGGGTTTTCTCCACCACACATTCCATTCATTCGTATATTAAAAAGTAAGATCAATTTTCACAAGTTTCATACTACACGGTTTCAGTGCAACCACGTGTCTGAACAATTTATGCAAAATCTCCTTTCGTGAGGGGTCTGAAATGAGCAATACAGCAATTTACACGCTTCGGAAGATAAAATGTTCGTCAGAAAACGTGTCAAAACCGAAGGCCTTGGAATGCAGTTTTCTTTATCCGAGTAAAACTTGCAAATGAATGGAACATTAAAAACATATGGCAAAATGCATACAATTTCTGAACAACTGCAGGCAGTTTTCTTTTTATTCCTCAACTTTGTGAGAAAATCAGAGCACAGATGGCAAGTCTAAAAACTATGCTTGCTTAATACATGTGAACTCTCCCTACACTGATCTTGCTTACAAAAAATCTCTTTAAACCAATTTTTTCCTGGTCAATTAAGTTTTCTTTCCACATGTTAAAGGAGTTTTCCACATGAAATTCTCTCTACAACGATTATTTTTTTTCTGGTCCCTTGAATTTCAAGATAACTGATTCAAGATGATTGATGGTCCCTTGACTTTCAAGTCACATTTCTGGGGCGTTCCTAAAAAATTATTTTATGCTTTCACGAAATGATCGGGTGAATAAGTAAAAAAAAAAAAAATACACACGTGGACTCTCGCCACAACGAAATATTCTCTAGAAAAAAGAAAAAAAATCGTTCGAAACTAAATCATTGGGTGAAGGAGGAAAAAATTCACAGGTGATTGTCTCCACAACAAAATTCTCTCCAAAAGGAAAAAACACCTGTGTATTTGCCTTCCTCATTCACTCAATTATTTCGTGAAAACATAAATAATTCTTTGGAAATGTCACGGAGAAATGTGACGTTTCCCGCGGAAAGAAGATTTCTTACCTCCATCGTAGGCGGCAACCAAGATATCGTACGAGGTTCTGTCAGAGCCCAAGGCCCTCTTGAGCACCACCTTTCCAGTCCGAGGTTCCACGCGGAAAATTTCGCCTTCCCCTCTAACCAGATCGTAACGAATCCTTCCGTTCTCTCCTGTGTCCAAATCGATCGCCTCGAGCTGTGCAGAATATTTTCACAACGTGTACGTACGTGTTCAAGCAAATCAGCACAACTTTTTTTCTTAATTTTTTTTGGAAAATGGACAAAGAAAGGCGAGGACTGACCTGGATGACAACATCGCCCTGCTCCGAACTCACAGACATCACGGTGTAATACGGCAAGTTGAGAAACATTGGGCGATTGTCATTGATGTCAGTGACAGTGACTTCGACTAGTGCGTGGGCCACGCGTCGTCCGTATTCCCCGGCATCACTGACGGCCTGGGGATATAAGACAAGCACACTTTCCGTGAGGAACTTCGAAATGCAATCCAGAAAGATATATAGCAGGCTTTAAAAAAAAGTACTGTACAGTGTGCTTCTAGGTATTTTATGCAATTCATGAAAATCAGACAGGCCATTCGAAAATGACATTGACAGCCCACCCGCGAGGACTGTTGCGGAATCACGCGGGTTGATTCATAAGTTTTGCCAGTGCAGATTTCAGTCACCAAGATCGCCATCAACAGGATTTGAAAATCAACAAAGCACCTCATCACTGCGAGGAAAAATGTTCACACGCCCCGTTTTTATGCTTGGTGTATTTGCAGAAATTCCATGCGCAATGAATTATTTCACAGAATAAACATAGCTCAATAAAAAAAGGTTCCAGATGAGCAAAAAAAAAAAAAAACTCAAATGCATAAAAAAGTGTTTTGGCCTCGAAAATGTTTGAGCTAGTGATACCAAAAGAGGTGCTACAGTAGCTTCAAGATTTAGAGAGAAATAAATAAGTAACCGAAGTCAAGGTTGAAATCGAATAAACCCCGAAAAAAAAAGGAACGTAGACGTGCTTTAGGTCGGATTGTTCATTCAAGTCCGAAAATGGGCATTTCAAGGTACTCCATCGAAAGAAAAACTTTCGAACAGCCTCGAACAGCTTAGGTAATGCAAATGAAGTACTCATAAATAACCGCACACCTTTCACTAAACCAAAGCCGACTTATCCACTAAGTATTCCCGTACACAGTAAGGCCTTCAGCAACGAACATAATCGATTTCAGTGTTTCGTTCGTTGCTCAAAGCTTTCTTCATGTGCGGAAACATTTTTCACATTTACAAATGGAAAACAATTTATTTTGTTTCAGAGTCAAATAAAAAAATAATAATTACACGGGTAAAATAAAGAAAATGAGCGGGGGAAAAGAGAACGAAAAAAAAACAGACGATAATACAAAAAGTAACCAGTGTAATACGCTGTAATAAGTACGGATTATGTAAGGCATGCGAAATTAGAAGAAAAAAGGAACTCGAAGTTCTTCAGGAGCTTGATTTACCTTTGAATTAAATTGTAATCCGATTTTTTTCCCATTCGGGGATCGATTGTCATGAAATTATGAAATGTTCTCCATAAAAGGGATTTTTAAAATTTTGTTTTACTTAACTTGAGGTTTATTTCTCAAACGTAGAAAATGTAATTTCCACTACATATTAATTACGCGTATATTTTAGTGGTACAGTATGTGAATTTTCCTAGAATTTAACCTGATCCTCGAAATTTACAAAAGATCTCGTTGATCTCCTGAGGAATGCCTTATTTTCAAAGCTTTTTTTAAAAATGTAGAAAATTCAAGTACAGATAGTTTAAATATTGTACAGTGCTTGAATAAACGAAATCGTACTTCGCCTGGTACGCAGAAGCAAAAAAAGAAAAACGAAATTCCAATTCGGGTTCGATTTTGCGACCTGCCCGACTGATACAGCAGAAAGATTCGAATCCTTGCATAAATTCACGTTCGCATACCAACTCGAGAATCTAAAAAAAAAAAAGTAATGATAAAAATGGAGTGAAGAAAAAACCTGGAGAGTGTCCGCAAAGATTCCATCGTTCTTCAGGACATTCCAGGTCAGAAAATCAAGCCCCACATCCGGGAATACGCTTCCTCATCCTTAACCCCGCCAATCCATCTACTGTATAACATTTCATGAACAAGGCCCGACTCCACCGTGTAAAAAGGGGACAGTGAGGGAACAGAGGAACGAATGAACGAAGGGAAACACGCCTGACAGGGAATTGATGTCCCATAACGGACCAGATGACAGAACGGATTGGGAATATCTCCCCCACGACAGCACCATTCACCGAAACCCACATCAGGGGGCCCCTGCTTCCGGCCCACCAGCAACTGGATAAAGTTCATTAACGCTAATGCAGGAAGCCACTCGAGTCGGGATAAAAGCCACTTGTTGTCAACGTCGCCCCGTCGACTTATCAGCGTGACGGAATCCGCAAAATCCGATTCAAAGGAAACAAACAAACAAAAAAACCTCGAGTCGTCGACGGTATGGGGAAATGAATAGCTGAGATGACGGAGTAGCAAGACTCATTTTTCTACCCACACAGCTTCGGTGAACCTCCCATTCCTTTCGGTCTCCTTCACTCGTCTGAAAAGTATACACTGCAGTTCCCACATCTGGGGTCGGCAGGGGAAAAAAAAACCGAAGACTAAAGCGCAGGACGTCCCAATAATCCTTTACAAAAGCTTCATCAATCTCGTCTCCACGCCAATTAAAAATAAAGAAGAGTTCCCCCTAACTTCAAACTAGATCCATCGCTGTGGAATACAGTAGCGTCCTTACCCGACGAAAAAACCGTATTGTGATTCAACGCATGATAACCGAACTCAGATCAAGAAAAGCTTCAACAACTCCGATCGAACTTATCGACAAAGCTCATCAGGCTAAACAGACTGATCATTCACGAACCTTTTCGACCTTGAACTAACACGTCCAAAGATGGATATACTGTATTTCAAAGAAGATTAACTAACTTTACTGAAGTGAAAATTACCTGGCACATGCTCAACCTAGCACAACACAATTTAATCAAAATTGGACCAAACAAAACGGAAAAGCGACTCATAGCGTAAACTAATAATGCTGAAAAAGCCAAAATAAGTGGAAAAATGAGAAAACCCAGCAAAAGTTTTTCCTGCCATCTGCACACAGTAACATCTTTGATTTGAGTACCTCCGCCAATCTGAGGCAGGTAAATGAAAATATAATTAAAACTCTAATTTTCCTGTTCACACAAAAGAAGCCTTCTTTGTACTGTACTTGAAATGTTTGAGAGGAATCTCGTCACTACTTTTCATTCCTGTTCATCATCTCCTTTTTATCGCTATGTTTGAATCTGGGAAATTTTTTATTATTCACTGCATTGTCTTTTGAGTGTTTCTTCTGTTTATTGTCACATGGCCTTAAAATCACATGCTTTCATAGTGCATAAATGACCCTTTATTCAAGGTGGCCCATGGAATACAGGAGGGCTGTTTCTACAAAGATCTTTTCTTGGACGATTTTCTCTGCATAAAGACGTTTTGCTTGTTCCTGCGTATTGTTCTCTACCCACGTTTCAGGGATTATCTACAACAAAATTATCCCTAAGACAAATATTTCTCCGGCCTTTTGAGCCATGTTGAAGAGAGAGTCCATCTCTAGATGCTCCTGACTGCAAATTGGCTGATTGCCCCTGTTTCAGTTTTGTTTTTTTGCTGGGTTCTGCTAAAAATCCAACATATGCTTCAAGGATGAGGGGAAATGTGGCTGTCGTAGAGCATTATATGCCAATTTCCGAGGTCTATATCGTGGGAAAACGGTATCAGGTCTGAAGCTTTACTGTGGCAATCGGAAGATTCCCCGGATGGCGCTGTTCTGTTATCAGGAAAAAAAAAAAGAAGAAGCACATGTACTTCTCCTGGCCCGCAATGATGTCCCTGTTAATGTGACGGAGTAGTCGTGACTCGTGATTCATTCTTGTTCCTCTTCTTTTCGTAGTTTTTTCTTCATTTTCTTGGTCACCCGTCCCGGTATTTTCTCACTTCATATCGCTTCGTTCGAGTCGAGCGAGGAAACAAGTGCCAGGACCCGCAGTATGGGTGACACACAGAATCCGAGACGTCGCTATCTTTCATAAATTTGCAGCTGCCGCGCGTGGGCATGTTGCCAGAGTTCCAATGGTGAGTCGACAGAATTGTCAACCCAGTATAAACGGGTGTCGACGAGATAAAAGTTAGCGATTGCCCCTTTTCGTCGTCTAGAGAAAACTGCGGAACGATACATTCATCCCGTCCGGCATTTGAAGTCGAAAGGTTGAACGGACGAATTTTCGAAGTCGGCCCCGCGCGGGTATTTTTTTCTTTTCAAGGGTTTCTGCAACCATGGTGCGTTTTGTTGTGAATAATTGATCAGAAGACTAGAACCTTCTGCCGTACGAGGTCCACTTATATTCTCTGATGGGACATTCAATGGAATCTATTGAGCTGGATGATCCATGTAAATTAATAATTGAAAAGCTGTTTGCGGGAACTGGCGACTTGGAATGTGGTATGGATATTTATAGAGCAATTGAAAGATGAATACTTTTTCACGCTAAAATAAAAGCACACATGAAGGTTCAGTACATTAATTTCTGATTCAAAGAACCCGCTTTACTGGTCGATAAACAATATATTTCTGCCAAATTCAACGAAATTTCAAGTACAATACATTTTTAACATCTATTTTTGTATTGCTTCAGCGTTGTACATGTGAAGCTTTCATCTTTAAAGCTGGGTCTGTGGAAATTTGTTTCAAATCCAAGATGAATGACATCAGAACATTTTCCGGGATGATTGAATGAGCCCAAGTCTTAAAAATGATTCAACGGATGTTTCGTTTACATACTTTAGATTGTCAAAATAGCATTTTTCAGTGTTGATTAATAAATTAAGTAAAATCAAGTTCCTGCTCCGTACGCAGAATAAACGTATGGATTATTCTGAAATGGCGGTCACTTTTCCGAGACCCGGTAAATTTTTTGAAACCCTGTATTTTTTTGTGGCAACTGCTGAAGGTAAAACTCAAGTTGGTCCCACCAAGCCAATGCATTCACAAATCATGAAACGCGCAATGAACGTCTGCACTTTCCAAACCTTTCTCTCCCTCTGGGATTTTTTTTTTTGATTTCATACAAATCGTGAAAATATTCGGGCGTAAAATTAATCCGGGAAATACTTCATATCTCGCGAGAAAAGTTTTGAACCATCCTATACTCCCTTCGTTGCTTCAAGCAGCGTGGTTTGAAAAATACTCAATTTTTCATCACCAGCACTTTCGAGCTGGCTTGCCCATTATTCACAGAGATACTGCTGCATTCATTATTGACGATGAGAGGGATTTTTTCCTTCACCAAGTTCTGGTCTGGTACCAAAAAAAGAAAGAAGAGAAAGGGAAATGCAGCGACTTACTTCGATGATGATTTCGTACTTTTCCTGGAGCTCGCGATCAAAGGGGATCCCGCAGGTCCGGATGGCGCCCGACGTAAGCCCGATCTCGAAAAGCTCCGACGGATTGAGGATCCTAAACTCCACGTGCTCATTGAGCCGCAATCCGAGCAAATTGACGATCTCCACGATGAGGATCCTCGTGGAATTCTCCTCCACACTCGCCTCGTACCGGTCCATCTCGAATCGCAGCCCCGAGTCCAAACTCGTCTCGCAATTGATCCTCACCACAGTCGCACCCGAATACTTCCCGTCGCTCACCGACACTTGTAGCTCGTGCGTCTTGTCGAGCACCCCCGGGTTCGCTATAGACAACAAACCCGACACGGGATCCAAGACGAATGCGCCGTCTTCGTTGCCGTGAACCAGTTCGAAACGCAGCGAGTCGCGAGAACTGTCGGGATCGGATGCGTTCAACTGGGCCACGGCTACACCTTTGTAAGTGGGCAAATGCAACGTGGCATTGTAGAAAAGTGAGTCGAATTGTGGCGGAGTGTCGTTCACGTCTTCCACGTGCACCCGGACAATCGCTACAGTGTCTGCGCGCAGAGACGGAGTCCCGCTATCTGACACGCGGATTTTGAACTCCACCACTGGCATTGTTTCGAAGTCCAAAATGCCTTTCGTTTTCACAGCACCTGCAAATATAAGCAAGAACAAAAACAACGAAAAAAATCAGTTGAAGATCGATAACACGAAACTCCGCAAGTCGAATATTTTTTTTAAAGCCAAAATTATACCTACCGATTATACAAAAATTGATAAGAATTATAGTCCACCACGGGGCCGCATACTTTAAGTTATACTTCGGCGAAAATACGAGTCTATGAGATGCATATTTCTCCAGGAAACAAAGATCCGGAAATAGAGAAAAGTAGATCATCGATACGTCGAATACGTCCCCAAGTCAAATGTTTTTGAAGGCCCTCTCTGAATTCACTGAGAAAAAATGCGTTAAAAACATCCCCAACTCAAGGCTTTCCTCCTCAAACCTCCACAACTCTGAATTTCCGGAGGTCTTCAAGCTAGTATTTTATCGGTACAGGCAAGAGAAAAACAATGGAATAATAAGTGGATGCGTTTTGAAAGGAAGGGGAAGACTAATTGGTCCAATGGACCCCTGCCTCCAAGTTCAGCATCCTGTCAACTAATTTGAGAAGTAATTTACGGCCCAGAATATAACTATTTACCATTTCCTGCAATTATTTTATCATTCCCAGTTTCCCACAAAAAATTATTGTTTCCCCATCTCAAAATTTTTTGTAGGTCCCTTGAAATTCTACTTGATCTAAAAGATGTTCGACTTGTATCATTTTCAATTACAATTATTTTGGACACGACCGCCAAAATCCAGTGTTCTGCTCCTACCCAAATCGCAAAATTGTTCATTGCATTTATGGTAAAACCCCCTCGATAATGAATGTATTTCAAGTTTTACTTAATTCTCATCAAGCCTTCGGAAATGCTTCTTCTCTCCATTTGACATCTTATTTTTCTTTCTCTTGTCTTCGACATCAATTCAGGAGACGTGTCGATCAAGTAAGTTAATGCTTTGAATAGAATCAATCATGATTTCCTGTTGATTTTTTTCTTTCCCAAAACGCAATTGCTCGTTTCCAAAATATTGGAAACAAGTATTTGAATTTGGAATAAGAATTTGAGAGGTGTACAGTCGAATCTCTTCAAGTCAAACTTCAAGGGACCTGCAAAAACAAATCCACATACTGTATATACCTCTCGAATTTATATTTAGCGCTCTGAGAAAAATTGACAGATTCATAAAATGCTGATCAACACAGAACCCGCCTTTCACACTGTGCTTCTCGAGAAGGAATTCTCGTAATTCTTCAGATCATCCGTGCAAAGAACAGGAACTCGTTAAAAACAATACAGTACAGTATTACTGTATAAGAACAGATGTTCAGTCCAGTATGATTCGTCCAGCAATTCCGAGTAAGATCAGAAAAAGAGAAAACACCGAAATTAAAGCTCAGATAATCTACAATAAGAACGTGTCTTCATCATTCATCTGACGTCTTATCTTCTTGGCCCTCCATAGGAATACAGTACCCAAAATCTTGTCAATTCCATCGTACCCTCTTCAGGTTGGGAATTATTCAGCTAGTCAGTTTTATCAAGATCATTCGGGCGAATTACGATACATCGCATTTCTTCAGGTCCCACAATATTATATAACATCAGTTGGCTTGATTATTCTGGTGATCATTACCTGACAGTAATGAGAGCAATTTCTGCCGCGGAATAAAAAGATAAGACAATTTGCAATTCATCGAAAAACATGTCGCTCACTAAAATTAGATGAAATGAACTGAATGATACATTTTTCGTACTTCTGTTAGGGTTTGACGGACACTGACGCATCGTTAAGCGACTACTACTTGCGGAAGGTAATTCAATCAAAATTTTCGGGGCTCAATTAATGCGCTCCTGATGGAGCATTAGACTTCTCCCACTGTATATATATAGACTGACCTTCCCCCCTCCCCCCCCTAAGGGCAAGGATTTGCCATTCTTGCTGCTTCCCGCATTATACAGTAAAATTTTCGGGGCTCAATTGATGGCGAAACCCCCCCCCCCCCCCCCCGCAAACATTTTGTTGATGTCCGCCAAACCCTCGCAACAATTGGAATAATCTGTGAGACTTAAAAAATCGCAAAAGATACCCACATGAAACTTTTTTCAAGAGATTGCGAATCGTGCAATTGGATAGTTTCTCTTCGAACGGACATTGCTTTCAGTTATGTCAGGCAAACGTCAACTTAGTCACCAACCCGAAAGCAAATGGAAGATATTTTAACGAACAAAACATAACCATACACACCCTGGACTGTACACGATACCATGTAACTTTACGTAACCATACCTGAACTATCGAAATGAAACCCCGCCAAAGATATCCCATCATGACTTCAGATGGAGAGACATTGGCAAAATTCAAGCTACAATTATGGACGGACGAAAGGGACCTATTCAAGATTTTAGGATCTACAGTAGTGCTCCTACATGTGGACACCCTGACATAGGGACACTTTTCCTTGGGGAAGCTTGAAACTAAAAAAAAAAAAAAAAATTGTCCCGACATTTGGAAAATGCTTCAATATACGGAAAGTTTAACAAAATTTCCAAAGAGATGAGAAAATGTTTTCAAAATGTTGATCTCCCATGAAAAACTGAGCTTTCTACACAGTAATATACTCACAGAAATGGAAATTAATTCAATTTTCAAAGCACTATATTCATAAACAAAACACAGGCCAATTTTTTCTTAATTTTTTTTTTCATCATCTATGCACAGTACAGCACGACTTGTGCTTGTTCTTTACTTTTTGGACTCCCTTTCTTGCCACAAGATCAAACTATGTGTAATTTCTTTCTGTGCTGTTATTTTCTGCATATTCAACTTGATACAAATGATTTTAATCAATTATCAGGGGGAACATTTTGGTCAACACGAGAAGCAATCAAAGATATTCATCCAACTGTGCTGTTATATTCTGCACATTCAAATCGAGAAAAAATATTTTATTCAATTATCAGGGAACTTTTCGGTCAACATGAGAAGCAATCAAAGATGTTCCAGCCTAAATCCATGGGAAAACGTCATCAAAAATGCGGACAATCCGAACCAGGGACAAAAAGTCTAAGCCAGTAGTATGCCAATTACTTCTGCATCTCGCTCAAGGCCTTGCTGTACATAAATTGACAAATCCTTATACAGTACAGTACTTCCTTCTCCCGATTCGAAACCCCCCTCCCCCCGGCCCGGAAGAATGAAAAAATAAATAAAATAAAATTACTGCAAATGAGAAAAACCCTTCTGCGTGGCAAACGGAAACTCACCGGTATTCGTGTCCACGGAGAAAAGTCGATTTTCCGGTCCATTCTCCACCATGTCGTAGCGGAGAAGAGCGTTGAGTCCGCGGTCTTTGTCGACCGCTTTCACGACCAAAGGGGTGCTGGAATTCGTGAGCACCATCGATCCCACGGACGCTGATTCTCGCACGTATCCCTCGTAAACGGATCGAACGAATTGCGGGAAGTTATCGTTCTGGTCCAACACGCTCACCAACAGCAACGTCGACGAAGAAGCCCGCATCTGGATTATTCGAGTCAATACCAAGCATGGAAAAATCAACGTTTGTGAACGTCACAACCGACGACAAACACAGTTCCCCCCGGGGTGCAGACAAAAAACTACAAGGTGTACAAAGAGTCCGCCGTGATCAGCGAGAAAGTCAGCACTTTTTTTTTTTCTAAGACAACACAAGCAGTCGTGGGCGCCACGGGGAAATGCCGGAAGAAAAAATAAATGCCTTGCAGGAAGTAAATGCAGCGCAGATGAAACTAGTTAGGGGGGAAATGAAGAAGAAAAAAGAAGTAAGAAACATTCAACTGAAGATCAAAAAAATTAATAAAGCCAACTGGGAAAAATAAAATCACAGAAGAACCAGTCGCAATAAATATAGAGTACCCTTGAATAACGTTTCAAGCAAGACCCGGAAATGAAAATTTATAGCTGATGTTTAGCAAGGATTGTTTCAAGCGAACAGCATTTTTAGTACTTTTTGTGAAGCACAACTAATTTCTGCAAGGCAATAAAAAAAGGGATTCAAGGAAATTAATTATTGGCTATTTCTCGTCTACATACCTACATCACCTCCATGCAGACACAGCAGAAGGGCAGATATGTATGCATATGTATAAACTGTATATATATTGGTGCTGAACATCCCAAGAAGGTTCTACAACCATCGCTCAAACCACGAAAAATGCAAGAAAGTGATCGGCATAACTTAGTTTTATGCTAATCCAACTCTAAACAAACAAAAAATCTACCTAAACCAGAAATATCCGTGTCGTAAAGGATGACTAGGGAAATTTTCATACCAAGTCTGGATTGAAAATGTATCGCTGAAGACTATGTTTTTAAATAACAGTACGTTCAACACTGGTCTTCCGAATCGAACGAGAAATTATTTCATACCAGCAGGCAATAGTTTAAAAAAATGAAAAAACTATTTTCAGATCTAGAAGTACTGTACAGTATATCATTCATGAAAAAATCCGCGCTCGTCCAGACAAAAATAATCATTTACGAGGATAATATTATTGTTGTTAAACGTGGATTCATTACTTCCGTTTTATATCGGGCACCCGATGACGCCTATATTGGCGGAAAAGTGTCACGATTTTCCATTTTTGGCGCTCGCAAATGCCCCAGTTTCTGGGAAAGTATAACGGAAACAAAGCCAGACGTTCTTTTTCTTTATTTATTTTTTTCTTTGCACGAAGTAAAACCCTTCTCTTTCACTATAAATATATTTCCTTCACAAGCCCGTAAAACAAATCCCTCCATTAAGCAAGAGCGCAGCTGTTTGCCCAGGCTTTCCAGCTTTCTAATAACGCCCGTACAGCGACAACGCAACCGGTCGCGACAATGGAAAAATCCGAAGCGAATGAATGTACTACGGTAATGCGAGGAAAAAAAATAGCAAACTTACCGTATTCCAAGCTTGGATCGTGAGGTTGAAGAAATTGCCTTCCTCGTAGTCTAGTCGGCCGACAATGAAAACCACCCCAGAGCTGGGGTTAATAGCGAAAATCTTCCTTTCATTCCCGGACACAATCTCGTAGTAGAGAGAAGATTTACTCCTCGCCGTTACGCTGGTCACGAAAGTTCCGGGCTGCTGGTTTTCCTCTATTTCGGCAGAATATTCTCCGTGCTTGAACCTGCAATGAAAACAGGCATTCGGTTGCATTAAGTCGTCGGCTCATCTCTTCGCACAAGACGCAATTCAGAATATGATCGCGAGGAAAAAGTCTCGCCATCAACGTATTCACACTTCGCATCGTTGGTCACTTCCAAATGAAAAAGGCGTTATTTTGCTATGTTGCATAGATCACGCTATCCATTTTTTGCTGATTCAAAGTAACCTCAATAACTCAAACTTCCCCAAGTCGTTTTTTTCCCAAGTCCCTGTCTTTCTAATGCGCCTTGGACACAATGCATTAAAAACCTCTCTAACTTGAAGGATTTTTCTCTAGAACCTCCATAACTCAAATTTGCTGAGGCTTTTTGGCTATTATTTTCTTGAACAGGAAAGAAACAAAAAAAAATGATCTTGATGTGTTTCAAATAGAAGTTGAATAATGATTGGGCAAATGAACCCTTGCCTCTAACTTCAGCATTGTCCTGTCAACTAATTTAAGAAGCAATTTAAGGCCCAGAATATCACCGTTTAATATTTCCTGCCATTCTTCTTTGTTGCCAACGACAAAAATGCTCGTTCCCCTAACTCAAAACCTCCTCGCGCCGATTTTTTTTTCTTTTTTGCCTGTCTCTTGACATTCTATTTGGAGACGTTCGGCTGTATTCCCGAGTCCTTACATCAAAATATAAGATCAATGCAAAGGATTAATGGCATACATTGGGAACTGGTTCATGTAAAAACTGCACACCAACAAAGAAGAATTGTAGCCGAAAAACAGTACGGTAGTAAATATTCTGTGAAAATAATGTGTGTGGTTTTTCGATCAAGCATCAATACACTTTTCGAATAATGCATCTCTCAGTATTCAATTTCACGCCCAATAGACACAAACCCGATGGATACGAGTAAATATCTTTTTGAACAGACGTTCAACTTTCTCAAGCAACTATAGGGTAATTATAATAGGTGTGTTCTCTCTACAACGGAATCCGAAGGGATCAAAGAAAAAAAACGTTGTTAAGAATCCTCATAACATCGAGAAGAAAACCCTATGGGTTCAAGAAAAAAAAACACCGTTATGCAGAGAAAATCGTTGTAGATAGAGTCCACCTGTACAATCATGCATATTCCCAGCATTAATTAGAACTCGGAAAACGCTCTTGCGATTGTACGCATCATCTTGATCAGCTTTTTTTTTTAAATCAGCCGAAGAGATGACAGATTGTACAGCATGATCAGCTGATCATTTTTAAAGCGGAACCCAAAAATTGACACCATATACACGCGCTTTCGGGTCAACGCTCCCCATCAAGGCTTTTCTTATCCCGTAAAATTGGGAGACCACTGGATTCCACTTCGGCCTGGCTTCGTACGTAATTCAATTCTCATGACATCCAACAAAAATTGAAGCCAGCGGCACGAAGGGAAACATGTCCGCCTACACGAAAATGGCCGAGGGTGACGGAAGTGCATTCCGTCGACACGAGTAGCAAAACTGCTTAGCTCATCCTCGCTTTAATTGAAGCTTCGGCAACACCCGCGTTTCTCAGGGGCGTGCAACGGCCGCGCTTTTGTATTATTCACCCTCCTTCGTGTACGACGAATAATCCAGTATAACAATAAATAAAAATAAAAAATACACACTCGCTGGCCAACGAGGATTATCCGACAAGTTTTTTTTTCAGTTTTATTTGAAAGAACTGCGCTTGATGACGCAGAAGAAAAAGGGTCTCGCGGTTCAAGAAATGCTGTATACAATACAATACAGGTGGACTCTCGCTTGTTTTTGACTTCTGAACTCGTTAAAAAAAGGCAAATTCTTTGTTTCAGTCCCTACAACGTAACACAGAGAAAAAAACCTTTGTTGCAGAGATATTTCCGATACAGAGAACAAACTTTTATAAAAATGGGAAGAGAAGCCTACGGGACCACCAAAAAAGTCGCTGTAGACCAGATTGTTGTAGAGAGAGAGAGAGTCTGAAAAATCAACGTTTGTGAACGTCACAACCGACGACAAACACAGTTCCCCCCGGGGTGCAGACAAAAAACTACAAGGTGTACAAAGAGTCCGCCGTGATCAGCGAGAAAGTCAGCACTTTTTTTTTTTCTAAGACAACACAAGCAGTCGTGGGCGCCACGGGGAAATGCCGGAAGAAAAAATAAATGCCTTGCAGGAAGTAAATGCAGCGCAGATGAAACTAGTTAGGGGGGAAATGAAGAAGAAAAAAGAAGTAAGAAACATTCAACTGAAGATCAAAAAAATTAATAAAGCCAACTGGGAAAAATAAAATCACAGAAGAACCAGTCGCAATAAATATAGAGTACCCTTGAATAACGTTTCAAGCAAGACCCGGAAATGAAAATTTATAGCTGATGTTTAGCAAGGATTGTTTCAAGCGAACAGCATTTTTAGTACTTTTTGTGAAGCACAACTAATTTCTGCAAGGCAATAAAAAAAGGGATTCAAGGAAATTAATTATTGGCTATTTCTCGTCTACATACCTACATCACCTCCATGCAGACACAGCAGAAGGGCAGATATGTATGCATATGTATAAACTGTATATATATTGGTGCTGAACATCCCAAGAAGGTTCTACAACCATCGCTCAAACCACGAAAAATGCAAGAAAGTGATCGGCATAACTTAGTTTTATGCTAATCCAACTCTAAACAAACAAAAAATCTACCTAAACCAGAAATATCCGTGTCGTAAAGGATGACTAGGGAAATTTTCATACCAAGTCTAGATTGAAAATGTATCGCTGAAGACTATGTTTTTAAATAACAGTACGTTCAACACTGGTCTTCCGAATCGAACGAGAAATTATTTCATACCAGCAGGCAATAGTTTAAAAAAATGAAAAAACTATTTTCAGATCTAGAAGTACTGTACAGTATATCATTCATGAAAAAATCCGCGCTCGTCCAGACAAAAATAATCATTTACGAGGATAATATTATTGTTGTTAAACGTGGATTCATTACTTCCGTTTTATATCGGGCACCCGATGACGCCTATATTGGCGGAAAAGTGTCACGATTTTCCATTTTTGGCGCTCGCAAATGCCCCAGTTTCTGGGAAAGTATAACGGAAACAAAGCCAGACGTTCTTTTTCTTTATTTATTTTTTTCTTTGCACGAAGTAAAACCCTTCTCTTTCACTATAAATATATTTCCTTCACAAGCCCGTAAAACAAATCCCTCCATTAAGCAAGAGCGCAGCTGTTTGCCCAGGCTTTCCAGCTTTCTAATAACGCCCGTACAGCGACAACGCAACCGGTCGCGACAATGGAAAAATCCGAAGCGAATGAATGTACTACGGTAATGCGAGGAAAAAAAATAGCAAACTTACCGTATTCCAAGCTTGGATCGTGAGGTTGAAGAAATTGCCTTCCTCGTAGTCTAGTCGGCCGACAATGAAAACCACCCCAGAGCTGGGGTTAATAGCGAAAATCTTCCTTTCATTCCCGGACACAATCTCGTAGTAGAGAGAAGATTTACTCCTCGCCGTTACGCTGGTCACGAAAGTTCCGGGCTGCTGGTTTTCCTCTATTTCGGCAGAATATTCTCCGTGCTTGAACCTGCAATGAAAACAGGCATTCGGTTGCATTAAGTCGTCGGCTCATCTCTTCGCACAAGACGCAATTCAGAATATGATCGCGAGGAAAAAGTCTCGCCATCAACGTATTCACACTTCGCATCGTTGGTCACTTCCAAATGAAAAAGGCGTTATTTTGCTATGTTGCATAGATCACGCTATCCATTTTTTGCTGATTCAAAGTAACCTCAATAACTCAAACTTCCCCAAGTCGTTTTTTTCCCAAGTCCCTGTCTTTCTAATGCGCCTTGGACACAATGCATTAAAAACCTCTCTAACTTGAAGGATTTTTCTCTAGAACCTCCATAACTCAAATTTGCTGAGGCTTTTTGGCTATTATTTTCTTGAACAGGAAAGAAACAAAAAAAAATGATCTTGATGTGTTTCAAATAGAAGTTGAATAATGATTGGGCAAATGAACCCTTGCCTCTAACTTCAGCATTGTCCTGTCAACTAATTTAAGAAGCAATTTAAGGCCCAGAATATCACCGTTTAATATTTCCTGCCATTCTTCTTTGTTGCCAACGACAAAAATGCTCGTTCCCCTAACTCAAAATCTCCTCGCGCCGATTTTTTTTTTCTTTTTTGCCTGTCTCTTGAAATTGTATTTGGAGACGTTCGGCTGTATTCCCGAGTCCTTACATCAAAATATAAGATCAATGCAAAGGATTAATGGCATACATTGGGAACTGGTTCATGTAAAAACTGCACACCAAGAAAGAAGGATTGTAGCTGAAAAACAGTACGGTAGTAAATATTCTGTGAAAATAATGTGTTTGGTTTTTCGATCAAGCATCAATACACTTTTCGAATAATGCATCTCTCAGTATTCAATTTCACGCCCAATAGACACAAACCCGATGGATACGAGTAAATATCTTCTTGAACATACCGTCAACTTTCTCAAGCAACTACAGGGTAATAATCGAGGTGTACTCTCTCTACAACGGAATCCGAAGGGATCGAAGAAAAAAATCGATGTTAAGATAAGAACCCTCATTTCATCCGAAAAGAGGACCCTATGGTACAAGAAAAAAACACCGTTATGCAGAGAAAATCGTTGTAGATAGAGTCCACCTGTACAATCATGCATATTCCCAGCATTAATTTGAACTCGGAAAACGCTCTTGCGATTGTACACATCATCTTGATCAGCTTTTTTTTAAATCAGCCAAAGAGATGACAGATTGTACAGCATGATCAGCTGATCCTTTTTAAAGCGGAACCCAAAAATTGACACCATATACACGCGCAATCGGGTCAACGCTCCCCATCAAGGCTTTTCTTATCCCGTAAAATTGGGAGACCACTGGATTCCACTTCGGCCTGGCTTCGTACGTAATTCAATTCTCATGACATCCAACAAAAATTGAAGCCAGCGGCACGAAGGGAAACATGTCCGCCTACACGAAAATGGCCGAGGGTGACGGAAGTGCATTCCGTCGACACGAGTAGCAAAACTGCTTAGCTCATCCTCGCTTTAATTGAAGCTTCGGCAACACCCGCGTTTCTCAGGGGCGTGCAACGGCCGCGCTTTTGTATTATTCACCCTCTTTCGTGTACGACGAATAATCCAGTATAACAATAAAAAAAAAATACACACTCGCTGGCCAACGAGGATTATTCGAAAAGTTTTTTTTTTTATTTTATTTGAAAGAACTGCGCTTGATGACGCAGAAGAAAAAGGGTCTCGCGGTTCAAGAAATGCTGTATACAATACAATACAGGTGGACTCTCGCTTGTTTTTGACTTCTGAACTCGTTAAAAAAAAAGGCAAATTCTTTGTTTCAGTCCCTACAACGTAACACAGAGAAAAAAAACCTTTGTTGCAGAGATATTTCCGATACAGAGAACAAACTTTTATAAAAATGGGAAGAGAAGCCTACGGGACCACCAAAGAAGTCGCTGTAGACCAGATTGTTGTAGAGAGAGAGAGAGTCTAAAAAAACCTTTGTTGCAGAGATATTTCCGATACAGAGAACAAACTTTTATAAAAATGGGAAGAGAAGCCTACGGGACCACCAAAAAAGTCGCTGTAGACCAGATTGTTGTAGAGAGAGAGAGAGTCCACCTGCATTCACACGAATATGTGAGACCGTTATTCTTTTTTTTTTTACAATTTCAACTCATGGAAAACCAGCACGCATCTAGGATGAAAGGGGGGTTTGAGATTTTCAGGCAAAATGCTAATCGAATGATCGATATCCATTCAACTCTTGCGAGGATAGAAAAACAAAGTTCTAATTCATAGAAAAAACTTTTAACAAATTTCCGGGATTATCCGAGTCGATAACAGAAACAGCTCATTCCGGGAGATACTCTGTGCGAAGAGTTTAATTCAATCATTTTAAAAACCAGCCAGCGTCACGATTTTTCCTGGTAGAAATTCCCTTCGCGAGAAAAATATCGCATCTGTTCCCAGTTAAACGGCAAAATTACAGTCCTTTCCCATTATTAGAAGATCCTGGCATTTAAAGACTGATGTAGCAAACTTCTCGAATACGTAGCACGATATCATTCCCAGCATAAAATTACGTGAAATTCTCGAATACGTAGCACGATATCATTCCTAGCATAAAACCAAGTGCAATTTAAAAAGTGAGTCCTGTACAGTAGTCCTATATTTTTTTAGTCCGATAGAATGAAAAATGCAGGTACCGTACTGATAATGTGTCTTACAAAATTATTGGAAGCTGAAATTCGAGCAAGTATGCGTGATGGTAAACAAGTATGCGTATAAAACGTCTCTCGGAACTCCACGTTGTATTCCTCCTCAAATAATCCAACCCAGCATGCTAATTACGAAGAATTCATGCATGCGACAAACTTTCAAAATTACTTCAAGAAAAAAATAATATAAAAAACTTTCACATCGGCGGAATAAAAGAAAGTTTATACCCGAACATAGCATATCTTGCAAGTCTCTAGGCGACTCAAAGACGTTCATCCATTTTTCTCCGCAATAGCTTAATAATTTACGAAGCAGCCGAGCACGAGATACAATCGCTACGGGTCAGGGAGGGACACAACGATCCGAGCTCCATTCCATTTAGAAGATCCTGGCATTTAAAGACTGATGTAGCAAACTTCTCGAATACGTAGCACGATATCATTCCCAGCATAAAATTACGTGAAATTCTCGAATACGTAGCACGATATCATTCCTAGCATAAAACTAAGTGCAATTTAAAAAGTGAGTCTTGTACAGTAGTCCTATATTTTTTTTAGTCCGATAGAATGAAAAATGCAGGTACTGTACTGATAATGTGTCTTACAAAATTATTGGAAGCTGAAATTCGAGCAAGTATGCGTGATGGTAAACAAGTATGCGTATAGTGAAACGTCTCTCGGAACTCCACGTTGTATTCCTCCTCAAATAATCCAACCCAGCACGCTAATTGCGACGAATTCATGCATACGACAAGCTTTCAAAATTACTTCAAGAAAAATAAAATAATATAAAAAACTTTCACATCGGCGGAATAAAAGAAAGTTTATACCCGAACATAGCATATCTTGCAAGTCTCTAGGCGACTCAAAGACGTTCATCCATTTTTCTCCGCAATAGCTTAATAATTTACGAAGCAGCCGAGCACGAGATACAATCGCTACGGGTCAGGGAGGGACACAACGATCCGAGCTCCATTCCAGCTTATTGTAACAGCGCAAGATACGTTTCCTCTCGGACACAAAAAAATCCCATGAATAAAATAATCCCTTGGTTAAATAATGATGCAATCCCTAGTGTTCTCTGGAAATGGACACGCATGAGTAATCTTACATTTCGCAGAAGAATGTACTCTCGCTAAAACGTGAATACCTTTCAAATAAATTGCTGAACTTACACTCGGGTCTTTCGCCATTTATGATAAAAGACGAAATAGCACAGTACAGTATGTTTGGCAAGAAATCTTCGAAAAATTAATAAAAATGTCTGTCTTCTCAATTTGACGCACGGAAAATAATTGGGCAAATGGAAACTAAACAGAATCTGCCTCTTTTTGTATCATGGAAAGTAATTCAGTGTCCAAATCAAGCACAAATATTACTTATACAGTACTGTACATTCACACAGGTACCGATGAAAAAAATCTTCGAAGCTGTTAAAAATGAGTGCGTGAATTTATACATATTTCCACTTCTTGTCCGTGGCAGAAGCTCAATTTTCCATGAGATTTTCAAATTTTGAGAATTAATTTTCGTTTCTCTGATATTCTGACCAATCGTCCATATCTTGAGACTTCTCAAAATTTTGGTGCACATTGTTTATTTAGTTTGCCTTCACCACCTGAACCGAATTGTCCGCATGTCGGGGCCCGAATGAATCTGGGGCCTTCATTATTTTTCCCCTCATAACTGGGAGGATATCTTACTTCAATTAGTATTCTTAAAAAAAAAAAAACTTGGAACCTGCGACAGCACTACTCGTAACAGTACGAAGAAACTACCAATAGCAAGGAAATTATTTTCGACCAACTGTAATGAAGGACATTACTCTCAGTCGCCTATTGGCAATTGAGACAGCAGTCGGTTTCCAGCTCTATCTTCATATGAAAATGCATACACTTATTGTATGTTTTTTATGCTTTCTATGGAGTACGGGCTTCAAACGGAGAGGCATTAAGGGAAATGTTTCCTCCTCTGCATCCGCCTGACAACTGATGAGTTCATGCGGTACAGCACTGTATTTCAAGAGCAGTTGAAAACGTGAGCCTCATGAATGAAATATAATTAAGATACGCGTCAGCCCACAATGATCAGCTTGGCCTTCCTAAGAATAGCAAGGAATGGGTTTTTATTTTGCAGTATTCGACTGATGCGAGGGTTGTCCCACCTAGGCGCGACCTTCGTCATTTCTAAAGTAGGTATGACTGTTAAGAAAATAAAAATTATGAGACAACACATACTGTTGTAAGGTTCTGAGCTTTTTTTCGAGTTGAAAAAAATAAGCTATTCACTGCATATTGATAGAAAATTTTCAGTAACGGTCAATTTTAAACTCAATTTTCAGGCCAGCTGAACAGTGAAATTTCGTTATTGTTTCACCAATTATCCTCTACATTTTAGATGGTGTAACCAACAGCAAAATCCAATTTTTCAGCAAGTTCAACATATTTTCGCTCATTGTGACATGTTCTCGTAAGGTTCTGGAATTTTTCCGAAGTAAAAAAATTCGATTTACTGCCTGATGATGAGTGAAAACTTTCCAGCTACAGCCAGCAGGGTGCTGAACATTTTCAGTCCGGCCAGCTGAAAATTGAAACTTATTTTTTTACTCTACCAACTATCCTTTATACATTTTGGATGATCAAAACCACAGCAGAATTCAATTTGTTTTTAGCTAGTCCGACAAATCTTTAGCTCCCTGCGACATTGGTGGAGAACTCTGGCTGGAAAGTTTGCACTCATCATCAAGTAGTTAATCGAAATTATTTTTTAAAAATCACAAAAAAAAAAATCCCAGAAGCCTACAACATCATGGGCTAAGTCATGAATTTTTTTTTTTTTTACAGTCATAACTATTCCTGAAAAAATCAAGGTCGCGCCCAAGTGGCACAACGCTCGTATCCAGCACACCGAGCGCCAACTTATCCATTCAACAAATTGACCCCGGAAAAGATGAGAAGAAAAACAGCAACAACAAAAACAAGAGAAGCGTCACTCACTTTGGCGGCGCAGAATCGGCAACAGTGACAAGGATCTGAACGTGCAATCGGGCAGAAAGCGGCGGAGTGCCCGAGTCTGTCGCCTGCACCACGAGCATATACTCGGGCATCCGCGACCGGTCGAGATCCTTCGCCGTCGAGATGATCCCCAGAGTGGAGTCGACTCTAAACGCATTACCAACATTTCCTAGAGGAAGGAAATAAGGAAGATAATTACATTTTCCTGATCACACCCAGCGTTCTTCTGAAATCAGCGACGCAGAAGAAGAAAAGAAGAAGGGCACGGCAGACATTGAACGAAGATTAATCGCGTCGTCGGCGGTTTATCACCCGCATGAGTATTGCGCCAAAACACAAAAAGAAGGCAAAAAAACATGGGTCTGGAGTTTCGCAACGCGCATCTGTTCCTACGTGGGATCTTTTATTTCAGCCTCTTCATCCCAGAATCCGTGGTTTCACGTCATTAAAGGATTATTACTTTACTTGAATCCCGTCAGGTTTCAGTGAAATTGGGTTGGGTCACTCTTTTCTGAATACCGTAAATTATATTAGGCACGTCCGGGTCAAGTTACGTTAGCATTTTTGGCTTTAGGATGGGGTTCATTAGTTCAATCTACATTCTTCCATTTAAGATACCTAAGTTTATGCTAGTAAGATTACCTAGGGCACGGGTAGGCTGTTTTTTTTTTTTTTTGGTGCATACTAATTCAAAAATTTAAATAACACTCGTATACCGTGTTTTCCGGTAAGGGTGTTTTGGCGTTGAAGAGAAACAAGATCCCTCTCAAGAAAAAGCAAGAAATTAAAGACACGAAATTACAAATCATTGAATCTTCCAAAGGAAACTAATTACGAGGATTGTTGGATAGGAATTTCTGCAAATCAGCGTGCAACGCACAATAATACCACGCAAAATTGGAAACTTTTTGATTAATAAAATTGTTCCACTCATTACAAAATAATTAGAGGGTTCGCAGGAGCTCGAAGAGAAGAGCAGCATTTTCGGAATGGTTCGTGGCAGTTATTTAAAGAAATTAATCTCGTACTGGCCCGCAGTCTTTCGAATGTAGAAAATTCATTTGAGACAGTTCGCGCAAAAACAGGCTGATGATGGTTATAGTACATTCTTTTTCGCTTTTATTTATTTACCGGCCACAATTGAGTAGGTGAGTCGAGCATTTTCTCCGTGATCTTTGTCGAAAGCCATGACTTGAAGGACGGAGGTCCCGACGTCAGCCGACTCGAAAACCGTGCCTTTGATCAACGACTCCAAAAACTCGGGCCCGTGGTCGTTGGCGTCCTTGACAGTGATCCGCACTCGAGCGAAATTTCGCAGAGACGGATTCCCGTGGTCTTTCACCATGACGGTCAGGAGATGCTTCTGAATCGCTTCCCTGCCAAGTCAGAGAGAGAGACCCCCGAGTGAGCTCAACCGTGTTTGATTCCTTGTCAACTGGGTTTCCTGCCCGTTTTCTCGGGAATTTTTCATATTTAAATTTTTCTTCAACCGGAATCTCGGCGAGAGCAAAAATTTAAAAACTTAGGAAACACAGTACTGTACTTCACAGCAGTGGTCTTCTAAAAGATTTTTGCCGGTTGACGAGACACTTTCTTCAGCATAATAAATTTATCAAGAGTACTGTAGTGATGAAGTGTTTTTATATTTATCTGAAATTTTGGAAAGAAAATGAAACTTGATATCATCTGATGAAAAAATGTCTCCTTTTGACACTTCAGAGAAATTTTCACATGCTGAAATAAATTATTTCAAGTATTTATTCAAAGGAAACCTTCTCGAAGCCAAGCTTTCAAATTTCTGAAGACATTCCATATAGGTTCTTAACTTGAATTTCTGAAAGAAGCAGTTTTTGTTTCAGGACTTTAAGTCAGATTTTAATAAAAGTTCTGCTGATCTCCGAACATTTTACGGAACTTTGCTGGTACACAAAAAAGTTTCCGTGGACCCAAAAAGGTTGGGGAACACTGAGTTCACACAGAACGTTGCCATAACATACGTTTGAAATACAATTTCTACGAACACTTCCGCCGATTCCAGTGTGAAATATTACTCCAGTATTAAAAGCTCATCCAATTATCATTCAAATAATGTCCGATATCTCAACTTCATGAGCATTGGTACATGTGGACTCTCTCTACAACGATTTCCACTGTAAAAATAATGTATTTTAAGTCCTACAGGGTTGTTTCCCCATGATATATGACATCCTTCGTCTCTACCTCTCCACAACGAAATTGCAAGACACAGAAAAAATTCTTCGTAGACGAGATCGTTGAAGAGAGAGTGAGAATTTAATGAAGAAAAAACGAAGGGGTGTGATTCGTTCGAACACTAAGCCATGCAATTCTATGTGACTTAACATGACTCATGAACTGTCAAGGGACGAAACACTTTCTTAGAGAGAATAATCCAGGCTGGTCTGATACAAATTTTGAAAATTTTCTCACATTTAGTTTTTCAAAAAAGATTTAAAAAAAAGTAGGACACTTCGGAATCAGAATTAAGCTCTCATAGCTCTCGCATTACCAAGTAAAGTACCGCAACTTTCTGAAAATGACGTTTCTAAATACTGCAAATTTCTTCTGCTTTTAATATCTTCCTCGAATTAATCGATGCTGAATAAATTTCAGAAAATGTTTTCTTCCGACACTTCTAAACAACAACAAAAATTATACTGTACCTGTCGAGCACACCGCTCGTCGCAATGAGGCCTCTCGTTGAATCAATTTTGAACAAGTCGGCCGATGATCTGTGCTGAACCGAGTGAATGGAATAAAAGACCCTTTGATCCTCGTCTCTATCAAAGGCCGAAACTTGGATCACACTCGAACCGATGGGTGTCGACTCGGAAATCTCAGCTTCGAAGACGCGTTCCGTGAATTCAGGTCGGTTGTCGTTCGTGTCGGTGACGATCACCAATATCTACAATGAAAGATAAACAAAATAAAAATCGTCGTTATCGTCGATTGACGCGAAGAAAAAGTAGCACAAAAAGGACTGGAAACTGAAAATCTCAAGTGCTTTGCGGGTTTAAATGTACTTCGATGAAATGTTCCTGCACAGCATTGAAAAAAAGAGAAGCAACGCTCGTTATTTCAAGCTGTCCTCATTCATCAAAAATTCATTCACGCTTTCCGCGAAGTCCTTTTAGCGAGCAATAATCTGTGTTTTCAAAGTCTCTCAGAACATCTCCTGTGGACAAATACGATAACCGCCGCAGGACTGAAAATTAACGAAACCCACTCGGGAAATCAACCCCAGCGACTCGTACCAAGAAGTTAAAACACGGGGAACCCACAAACAGATTTAAAGAACTGGATACAGCCAAGCTTTTGAATTAAAAACTGTAAAAGCACTATGATTGAGACAAAAGACGAAACATTCGGATATTTAAGACTGAAGAATGCTCAATCAACATCGACGGAAAAGTTTCTCCGCGGAAAAATCCGAGAATAGCTCGCAAATGCGTCGTGACAGATGTGCGGATTTTTTTCTTGCCTTTTTTTTTTCTTCCTTCATGAAGACGGCATGAACATGACTTTCATTTTTATTTTCTTGGCCCCATTTCAAAATCTGGGGGGAAAAGAAGTTTGCGAAACGTCGTCAGATCCGACGCAACTCATTCATGGCATATCACCGGTCAACAAACGTGCGGTTGGGGTCTCAGGGGGGTTTCACGCTGGCCGCGGAGTTAATTTATATGCAAACCAGCCCGATGTCCGTTTCCCTGCAAATGCGAGGATAACGGTGTACGGAGTCCCAGGATGGGTATTGACCTCTGAACGCAATGAAACAGAGGCACGGCCTTCCTTATTTTCATTTTTTTCGATTCAAAGTGAAGAGATGCTTCACGGAATATTCAGTACCCCATTCTGCTGTCTTAAGAAGAACGCGAGAATAATGGGTCTTTGAAAATCCCGAATACTGGCACAAGGAGTCGAAACAACTTAGCGCTTCCGTATTCGTACAGAGAGATTCCTGGAGAATTCCATTCCCTTGTCGTTACTATATTATTTCCATTTTCTTTTATTGAGGTTTCCGGAAGCTTTTTTTAAAGCAGTCCAGGTAAATAGATTTGTTTACGTCGTATTTTTAAATAAAGCACCAGAGAAGTACAAAATAAAATGAAGACGGAATCACTTTAAATAAATAAATAAATAAATAAGGCAGGCTTCCATTACGCGCCATTCTCGCGATACCTGTGAAAAACGATGTTTCTAGAGCAAAACTACAGTTCAATCAAAAGCTTTCCTCTTTCAAAGATATTTTCAAAGTGACATAGCACCTCTCACAAATTTATGCATTATTGTTATCTTATTCGAATACGAATACTGTCACGACAGGTGCCTGGAATCTGCACCCTGGTTCACTATACAGTATACAGATTCTTGATTAAAGCTCCAAGGGGCTCTGTAAAAGTTCCCGGACATTCGAACAACAACCATGGAGGAATGAATTGCAGAATACAGCAACTAATTTTGGACAAACGGGAGAAAAATGAGAGGCTCGATGAAATCATTAAAATGTGGTTTCCAAAATATAGGCTTAGACTTCCACGTCTGTAACTCGAATTAAATGTCCAGTACAATGTTTCCAAGAGGATCTGTCGCATAAAAGCATTCAAAATAGGGCTCGCTCCGCGAAGGGAAAAGAAACCTCCGCTTCAACCATGTATATTTTTATGCATTTTTTTCGGGAAGATGTTACGGAAATCAAAATCGCCTCGATGATATTCCACTATATAAGTTGTCAAGACGTTCATTTCGTCTCGTCAAGTGCTTGCAAAAGAATCGCAGTCCCGCTTAGTCGATGAGATCGTCATGCCTCGAGATCACGGATCAAGCCACTACACTCAAGGCGAACAGAAACCGCAATACGGAAAAAAAAAAACGCCAGTCAGCAAACCCAGTTTAAAGGGGGAAATTGGAAGAGCAAGAGGAACGAATTCCGGGCACGACGCCGCAGAAGAGGTTCAAGGTCTGATTTCCGTGAATATTTTATACTACCCAAAAAAGTAGAAGAAAGAAGAAAAAAAACGAAAACCGGGTCGCAACGGCACCGGTTGGCATCCTAAGCAGTTCCCCCCGCGTCGGGCAAATTAGATCAATCACGGTCTGGCGCATATAGAACCCGGCATCTTCCCGCGGGTATCCGTATGAACTATGAAAACCAGCGAGTAACCCGTGGCACGTGGCCAATTCCTCGCATCCTGCTGCTGACACGATTATCAAGCATCAAAACGGTATTCATCTGTTCAACTGCTTGCTCTTGTTTCCTTATCCTTCACTCGATTCCACGATGCATAGTGCCGTGAGTAGAAGCAAAGTGGACGTTTCACAAATGGGGAACACATATTTTCATCTATGCACTGAAAGCATATGTCACCTTCAGTAGAACATATGTTTACTGCATGCTGCACTCTAGTCACGATTGTCTTCAGCAACATCTCTGGCAAAGATTAACAGCATCAAGAGAATTCAATGAAGAGACCCTTTCTGAAATCTTGAAGGATCAAGATAAACTGTTGGCCTTATATGATTTCTCATCAAAGATTTTCTCTAATTTGTTCATTCAAGTAAACCTCATACAGAAACACGCTGAATCCTTGCGCTTTGAATTAATTTTTACATATATTTTGTTTTCAATGTCAGGGAATGAATGGGTGTATGCATACATGTCAGATGTCCAGTTGTATTTCGTGGATTGTGTTTTCTTTTATTTTTGCTATCACTTTGTGCTCTGTTTCCTGCTCTGACGTGATTAAATGTCATTGAGTGGACTTGGGTTGGGTGGGAAGGGGGTTTGGATGTGGAAATCTTCATTGAACCTTGTGAACGCTGAAAAGCGGCAAATAAAGTGTTCTGTTCATTCATTCTTTCATTCAAGAGATGAAATTAAGATTCAAATTGCACGGGGTAATATTAATACTGTACTTACCGATCAATCTTATTTATTCGAGTACCCTGCGCTCTCGTGTAACACGTGCATCCCAAGTTTATACCCTAAATTTTTTTATGAAATCATATTCCGAAGTAAGATGCACCCCTCATTCTTAGATACTGGGAAACTGCAGTATTTTAAAAATTCGCAACACCAGCATTGAAATTTGAACATTACTTCAACCTGATATAAATTAGGATTCAATTCTTTGGAGTTCAAAGAAGTTCCTGTCAGAATTGTCCCATTACATTCGAGTGTGACACAAACCCCCTTTTCCCCCATCTCATTTTTTAGATAAAAGGTCAACATCTCAAGCATATAAATGCAAATTCCGAAAGATAATTCCCCGAAATGCGTCAGAGGGAGCATTATTCAGAGAATCTACGAATATCCAGAAATTGTTTGTCAACCTCAGCTACAGATTACTCAAAAATCGCAAAAACAGAGCGACGCTGAGCAGAAATTCTGTACTCAGCAGCACGTACGGAGCTTCTCTAGTCACTCATTAGTTTCTTTTTCTCCTTGAACACTAATATATCCTTCTAGAATTCATACTAAATAGAAATAAATGTAAAAAAGAAACAGAAACTGTGCTAATTGAACCCATCCCACGACGTCGAAGTGAAGCTCGACATCAGGCGCCAGAAAAGCTCGAGCCAAATGAAAAAAAAAAACCTTGTTCGCTTTTGTTCGCTTCCCTGGAACAGAACATTGTGTTGCCCAAGACGACAACGTTCGTCGTCACGACATCGCCTCGACAGGGCAGTTATCACATCTGGGGGAGGGGGGAAAACACATCCGGAACAAACCGCATTCTCGTTCTTTGCACACAGGAAACCGGAAACGCGCGGAAGCTCGCTTTTATTTTCGCACCTTTTCTTCCGCGTTCGCCGCGATGCGCAATATGACGAACAGCCAGAGAAACAATACTGCGACACGTGGCTCCAACACGTGCATGGAAGACAAATAGGAAGAGAAACAAACAATAAAGAAAAGCTGGGTACAGTATTCGAGAGGGCACAAGATAATATCACCGGGGTGCGACAAATTTCAACACAGATTTATGCACAGTTCAGCGATACATCTGATAAAAATTTCAACAATTTCAACCGATTTTCCAGCGACAATTTGAAGGTACAGTTGTTGAAAAATCGGCTCATTGATCCATCTTTCTCAACTTTCATTAGAAAAGAAAAAGAAATTTCATATTGAAATGAATAACATAAAAAGACATGCTTGTTATGTTCAAAAGAAGCTAATTACCATATTAACTCGAGTACTATGCACCCACAGTTAAGAGCAGGCTTTTCAGTCTAAAATTGTGATTACATTGTGCCCCCGGGTAAGACCCCATTTTTAGTGACGCTTCAACTGCAATATTTTGGAAATGTGAACAACCAAATTTGAATTTACACAAGAATTCAACTTGCATTCAACTAATAATCGTAATTTTTTCCAAACCAAATTTTTCCGATACAAATTGGTCTTAAATTCCTACGATATAATCGAGTATAATACACACCTAAACTTTTTGAAAAATTGATACCAGCACTCTCGATTTTGAGGAAAATATGCGCTCAGTACTCGAGTGATAATCAGATCATCAACCTAGATTCGATCAGCAAGTCCATTCCAGATTTTGGCGGAAAATGTCATGAAAGTATGCCTTAGCCTCAGGCATTTGCTCATAGTCATGTCATAAGTTACGATTCAACGTTTAATAAACGTAGGCGCAGTTGAGAATTAAAATTGGGGAAGTTTATTCGGAAATTGAGCCAAGAAATGTAATGCTCCTCCAGTGCAATGATGCCGACGAGTAACCTTTGAAATATGTTTCAACTCCTGGCGATAGTTTGTGCTTCATGGCAACTCAGTAGAGTAAAAAACAAATGTGAAAAATTTGCAAACCAAGGATGAAGGAGGGAAAAGTCGATAAATGTCTGCTTACACAAGAACACTCACGAGGTTATAGTGAAGACACAAAATAAAAAAATAAAAAATTCAGGCACGTTAACAGATGGCGTCAGGGAATGGTGAGAAGAGACGAAGTTCGTACCTGAGCGACGCTGTCGAATAAGCCGTCGGAAACACGGATGGAGAGATTGTATTCACGCTGGGTCTCCCAGTCGAGTTGCTTGGCGAGGAAAATCGACCCGGTGTCACGTCCGACCATAAATTCCTCGCCACTGTTCCCACCTGCAAATTCGCAGAAACAAAGACGCAAAAAAATTATAAGGTGAGTTACAAGACGTCAACCGAACAGTCAGCACTGCGAAACGCAAGTCAAAGTCGACGAAGAAAATATTCATCCATTTGTCGAAACATTCACAGCTCCAACTGATTTCAACCGTGCTTCTCATTGGCAAGAGGTATGTTAATTATTCTTGAAAACATGAAGGTGATTTTTTTATGAATTCTTTCGCACTGCGATTTATCTTCTGCTAATATAAATATAAAGTGTTTTATGTTCGATGGGCCGGAATGTGTCTAATTGATGCGTGGAAACATTTCGTAGACCTGACATGCGAAGAAAAAAGCTTATACATCAATCGACTAAGAGTTTACGCAGTGTTAGACGTAAGTTCTATCGAGTTTCCTTCTGAATTGGATATTTCACATTGCTTTTCCCTCGTTCGCAAAAAATATCACCCTATAAAGTTTTAAAAAATAACTCAACATATGCAGATGCACAAGTTCCACTTCTGCTACAGTGCCAATTGGCGGGTGAAATTCGGTCGACATTTTTGTACCCTAATCGCGAAATGATCGAATGATGACATCTGGCAGCAAAAACTGCATATTGAGCGTAGGTCTTCAAAAGAATAATCTACACAAAATGGATTCAATCAGATTTAGGAAAAAAAACAGACCATTTTGGGCGCAAACTTCAGTAAAAGCCCATGGATGAGAATAAAAAAAAAGAATGCGCAAAACCATTCCGTCTTTTTCTTTCTTCAATGGGCAAGCTTTTTCACTACTGTATTCATGTTCGAATTTTACAACCATCAGAAACTTTTCACCTCCTTTCCGGGTTCATCTATTCGTAACCCCTTTTAAAAATATGAATAACCCGATTGTGGCTTGTAGTGTACTCGTATCAGATACATCTACATCCCAACGCGGACCAAATCGCAAGCCATGAAATGTTTGCAGCGAATATATTAACCCAGACGCCAGAACAAAATTGCTTTCTTATCGGAAGAAAAAGCTACGCTCTTCGAAACTGTACACCCATAGTACTGTACTGTACTTCCTTGTTTTCCCAGAGGGGGATTTCCTCACAAAAGCGACAGAATTACAAAAACGCAATGGGATAAAAGACAGAGAATAAATGTAAGAAAGCAGTCCCGGCTTTTTTTTTTCCTACTCATGTATTTTCGTACATTCCGTCAGTCAGAAGAATAACGGCAAGAAACTCGTAAGTAGCGTGCAATCCATACGGCTCCTCCGAATGCTCGCTCGGCACACACCGGTGGGATTCCTCGGGGGAAAACTTACGTCATAACACGAAGCAGAAGAAAACGACGTCCAATTAACTTCGAAAATGTCTTTCGTTCTCTCTGGTATAGTCAACTGGATGGCACGGGCACATTCGCAGAATCATCCGCAAAATTTTTTGCACCTCGCATTCGTAGCAACTAATACCGAGCAACCTTAAGTTCACACACGCGGAAAGGTTTCAGCTCTCTTTTGGTAACGACAAGTAAGGAAAATTATCATAAAAAAAAAAGAGTATAGCTGAAGATCCGTTCATGGATCAATTTTGATGTGATCACTACAAAATCCGGGAACATGTTAAGCTTCAAGTTGAGCACATGCAGCAAGTATGTGCAGTATCGTGTTTTCCAATTAGATATGCACTTTGGCACGTTGCAATGCAAATTTGTGTCATGTGCAAAAAATTTTCTCCGGCACTGCAAGTACTTTCACCGTATTTACACGAGTACCACGTGCCCTCACGTAAGACACACACCCCATCAGGTTTCTCAGGTCTGAAATTTTGATCAACACACACCCCATTTTTATTAACTCTAAAAGAGCAACATTTCAAAAGAGATAAATTCTAGTTGGAACGTAGACACAAACTGAAGCTGAATTCAACTAATTTATAATTCTCTCCATTTAAATAAGTTTTTCTGATAAAATTGGTCCAAATTTTCAATAATTATGAAGTATATTGGACAGCACCTAAATTTCTAACACTTTTTGGAAAATGTATACTGTACCTACATATGACGCGGAACCCCTTTTCCTACTTAAATTTGGACGAAAAAAATGTGCACGTGTAGTCAAATAAATACAGTATTTCCATTTTAAAATATTATCAAGAACTTCTTGGTGATTTCATTTGCTGATTGTGTGGTGTGATCTTTTTTTCACGATACCCGTGAAAATAAATACAGTCTTCAGAGAACATCCACGCAAAAAAGATGCTTCTGAATTCTGCCTTCCAAAGGCGATAAAATGTTGAGCCTAATTTTAAAAGTGAACAGCTACGAAGGCCGCGTTATACTGCCTCATCAGCACTCCAACGTTCCTTGAATCTGAATGCATATTTTTCTCAAGCATTCAAATGAGCATTAGTGATGCGATTCAGAGCTGCGCTGTCGGGGGGAAACGCGTCCCCAAAAGCACGAGAACCCGCGGTCTAGCATTTGGGCATTAAGAGATAGAAGCCGGGGGCGCCTCGGAAACCCATTTGAGACAATCGCGCAAGAAATGGCACCGCTTCCCAGACCGACCAAAAAGCCTTCGCCAGTCGACGAAGCAGCGGGATACTTAGTCATCACGAGGCCGCGTGTTAAACCGTCACGCGGGACTCGTGAAAATTCTGCGTACGTAGAGAGAGAAAAGCCTTCTCGCAAAAAAACACTCTTCTTCGCAAACTGCGGGTGATTTGATTACAATGTCGTGTCGCAAGGATCACCAATGACTCATTTAGCAACGGGGAATGTCGGCTCACAGGCACGGTCTGCAATCACGATGCGAGGGCTCTCAACCCTATGCAACGAGAGGTTTTTTTTTTTTTTTGTCGTGATGTGTGAGAGGACTGTCGCTGAAGTTTCGGAAATCGTTTTGAGACGAATGAAAAATAAAATTTAGAACCACAATACACGACTTCATTTTCTAGCTAAGGCATAATTGATGTCTACTTTGAATTTTTCTTCTGGGAGGAATCTATTCCACAGAAAACAAATTTCGTAGAATAGCTAGTCCAACGTATTCCTGTCCTTCAGAGACAAAGAATAAAAAACCCCTCAAACTCAAAAGCTGCTCCTCTAAAACATCCGTAACTAGAATTTTTTGAGGCCTTTTGCGTATCATTTCCTTGATACAGGAAAGATAAAGACAATAAAAAAGTAACTTGATGTGTTTTAAAAGAAAAAAAAAAAAGGTTTTCGGCAAATGAACCCTTGCGTCTAAGTTAACTCACTTAAGAAGCACTTTCAGGCCCAGAATATCAGCATTTAAAAATTCCTGCAATTCGTCCGTGTTTCCCACGACTAAAATGCTTGTGGATTTGTCTTTGCTGGTCCAATTGCAGAGAGAGGTTCGACTGTACCAGGGAGAAATATTTTCAGATAACATTATTATACTGAATCACCTTTACAATCCCAGACTTGAAGATGAAACCACCGTAATTTCCAGAGACCGAGACGGTATCTCTGATTTATGTCAGCTTCCAACCGCGGAAAAAACTTATTGAAGATTGCAAATTAAAACCACACAACGATGCTCTCAAAAGGTGCAGAACGTATATGGAAAAAAAAATAAATCTTGTATCCACCTTTCGAAGAAACTTCCATCAACCTAGCCAGTGGAAGATACCTCATAAAGAACATCTTGCGGGTGAAGCCGATTTTCATTCACAGAAAAATAAGGATTTCGGACAAATAAAAACGAGTTACGGGGGTTTCTCAGTTACCCAACAAAGGAATAATGTATCGGAGTTTTGCTCAACTATACTATCGCCCTCTGAAGAGTTCGATAACGTGTCATTTCAAGGAAAATGAATACGGTTACCACTATTATTGAATACACCTCACTGTGGTTCTTGCTCGCTTTCTTCGTAAGCCACGCATCATTGCCAGCGAAGGAGAAAAACTGTCTGCGATTTTTAAGCACAGTGACAATCGATTTCGTGTCAAAGAAGGGAAATAAAAATCACTTCCAAACAGATTGCGGGGCGTTTTTCATGCAATCCACTTTTTCGGAGCCGACAGACCAGATTATATATTGTGCCCGTTCCACTGTAACGAGCCTTGAAAAACCTGGATGCATTTGCTTTTACGACATTTAATAGGAGGGTTGGTTCGGAAGTTTTATCGGTCTCGTCATTCTAATACAGTATAACAGGCACAGTATTTTCAGGTCGGTGATATGAAGATTACGCCGAACTTAACATGGATATCAACAATCATAATGATATAGCTTCAGTATTCAAATTTTTTATGAAGAAAAGCTGGAGGTGCCCAGCAGCCCCATCCGGGCAACATAACTTTTTCAGGATTTGTAGGAAGTTTGAATTTTAAGACCATATGTCATTCTAGCTGTATACCACGCAGGTACCGATTTTTTCATGAGCAGGGTTTTTGTTTGATATATCCTGGACAGATGAGAAAGCTTTCAATGTAATGTGGAACAGTGTTCCCCAACTCCTGGTCCTCTGACTGGCTTTTTTTTCGCAGGTCCGTAGTCTCGATACCCAATGGAGAAAATTCTAAATCAGGGTTCCTCAACCTTTTTGGGCCCGCGGACTGGCCAACTTCAATAAATTGTTTTGCGGACCAGCAATTTTCCACAATTTTCTGTAGACAAATTGTCTGAAAGACTTAATGGCACACAATTGAAAAGTGTCTGCTTCTTTAAAATTACGAATAATGAAGCAGCTATACTGAGGAAAATTTTCAAAAATTAAAAATATGGGCTTGAAGAGAGGTTTCACAGAATGAAAAAATAATGAAATAATTTATTTCAGCTGGTGAAAATTAGTCTGAAGCGCTAGAAAAATAAAAGCCATTTTTCATCAGATGTTGTCATCTGCCATTGTTACATTTCAGATAAAAATAATGGACTACATTGCTACCTTACTTCTGTTACTTTATTATGCTACAGAAAATGTCCCGCGGACCGGCAAAATTTCTGCGGACCACGAGTTGGAAAATAAGAGTTCTAAATAATTGATCACGCTGTCCCAAATCTAGCAACGATGCTTGAATGAAAATGCGCTCAAATCATCGGCATTTTAAAGTGAGTGATGCTAAGTCGGGTCTGCAATTAAAAAATTCAAAATGCGTTTTTTTCCTAAAACGTATTGATCGTATTCCAGTTGTTCCGAGGACATTGTTTCAAACCTTCGGTAACTAGATAAATTAAATTCTGGGTTCTAAAGAAGCAATTGAACCATCACTAATGGAAGATCATAATACATGAACAGCTAGAAACGCCTCAAACAGCGGGCAAACACGAATCATACTGTATTAAGACCAAATCGATGCAATATTCGGAACCGCTGTTTTTGTGTGCTTTTCATGGTATACGTCTGAAAAATTATAAAGGCAGGTTTTCATTTTTTTCAAAAATATTTACGAAATAAACAGCCTCGAGAATGAACCAACGAGAAATGATGAGCGAGCAAAGAAAGCGGGTTCATGAGCATGGATGTCTAGGCTGGGATAGACACACTCTTCGCGGCTTNTTTTTTTTTTTTTGTCGTGATGTGTGAGAGGACTGTCGCTGAAGTTTCGGAAATCGTTTTGAGACGAATGAAAAATAAAATTTAGAACCACAATACACGACTTCATTTTCTAGCTAAGGCATAATTGATGTCTACTTTGAATTTTTCTTCTGGGAGGAATCTATTCCACAGAAAACAAATTTCGTAGAATAGCTAGTCCAACGTATTCCTGTCCTTCAGAGACAAAGAATAAAAAACCCCTCAAACTCAAAAGCTGCTCCTCTAAAACATCCGTAACTAGAATTTTTTGAGGCCTTTTGCGTATCATTTCCTTGATACAGGAAAGAGAAAGACAATAAAAAATTAACTTGATGTGTTTTGAAAGAAATAAAAAAAAGGTTTTCGGAAAATGGACCCCTGCGTCTAAGTTAACTCACTTAAGAAGCACTTTCAGGCCCAGAATATCAGCATTTAAAAATTCCTGCAATTCGTCCGTGTTTCCCACGACTAAAATGCTTGTGGATTTGTCTTTGCTGGTCCAATTGCAGAGAGAGGTTCGACTGTACCAGGGAGAAATATTTTCAGATGAAATTATTATACTGTATCACCTTTACAATCCCAGACTTGACGATGAAACCACCGTAATTTCCAGAGACCGAGACGGTATCTTTGATTTATGTCAGCTTCCAACCGCGGAAAAAACGTATTGAAGATTGCAAATTAAAACCACACAACGATGCTCTCAAAGGGTGCAGAACGTGTATGGAAAAAAAAAAAAATCTTGTATCCACCTTTCGAAGAAACTTCCATCAACCTAGCCAGTGGAAGATACCTCATAAAGAACATCTCGCGGGTGAAGCCGATTTTCATTCACAGAAAAATAAGGATTTCGTACAAATAAAAACGAGTTACGGGGGTTTCTCAGTTACCCAACAAAGGAATAATGTATCGGAGTTTTGCTCAACTATACTATCGCCCTCTGAAGAGTTCAGTAACGTGTCATTTCAAGGAAAATAAATACGGTTACCACTATTATTGAATACACCTCACTGTGGTTCTTGCTCGCTTTCTTCGTAAGCCAAGCATCATTGCCAGCGAAGGAGAAAAACTGTCTGCGATTTTTAAGCACAGTGACAATCGATTTCGTGTCAAAGAAGGGAAATAAAAATCACTTCCAAACAGATTGCGGGGCGTTTTTCATGCAATCAACTTTTTCGGAGCCGACAGACCAGATTATATATTGTGCCCGTTCCACTGTAACGAGCCTTGAAAAACCAGGATGCATTTGCTTTTACGACATTTAATAGGAGGGTTGGTTCGGAAGTTTTATCGGTCTCGTCATTCTAATACAGTATAACAGGCACAGTATTTTCAGGTCGGTGATATGAAGATTACGCCGAGCGTAACATGGATATCAACGATCATAATGATATAGCTTCAGTATTCAAATTTTTTATGAAGAAAAGCTGGAGGTGCCCAGCAGCCCCATCCGGGCAACATAACTTTTTCAGGATTTGTAGGAAGTTTGAATTTTAAGACCATATGTCATTCTAGCTGTATACCACGCAGGTACCGATCTCATGAGCAGGGTTTTTGTTTGATATATCCTGGACAGATGAGAAAGCTTTCAATGTAATGTGGAACAGTGTTCCCCAACTCCTGGTCCTCTGACTGGCTTTTTTTTTGCAGGTCCGTAGTCTCGATACCCAATGGAGAACATTCTGAATCAGGTTTCCTCAACCTTTTTGGGCCCGCGGACTGGCCAACTTCAATAAATTGTTTTGCGGACCAGCAATTTTCCACAAATTTTCTGTAGACAAATTGTCTGAAAGACTTAATGGCACACAATTGAAAAGTGTCCGCTTCTTTAAAATTACGAATAATGAAGCAGCTATACTGAGGAACATTTTCAAAAATTGAAAATATGGGCTTGAAGAGAGGTTTCACAGAATGAAAAAATAATAAAATAATTTATTTCAGCTGGTGAAAATTAGTCTGAAGCGTTAGAAAAATAAAAGCCATTTTTCATCAGATGTTGTCATCTGCCATTGTTACATTTCAGATAAAAATAATGGACTACATTGCTACCTTACTTCTGTTACTTTATTA